TGTATGCAATTAACGCAATTCAAACATTAGTAAAGAGCCTGAATTTATATTAGTAGGTACATTAAGCTTCCTTAAACCATTTTAATAAATACTTTGGAAAAGAACACTGGAAAAGTCCTATTTTCATTGTTAATTCAAAATGCAATCCCACTATGTAGATTATGTGAACATTGGAGATTAAGATATTTCATAAATAACAGTGACCAAGAACTTTACAGGAAAGCATTACACAACATTTTAGCCACAAATCTGATGTTACTACTAATGTTTGCAGAACCCTAAGTGTGTATTTCTTCCCTAGAGGTAAGTTCATAAAGTGACAGTTGTATTTCTTTGCCTTCCCTTTCTCTGACTGAACATTAATACATGATCAAGAAGTTATTAATAAAAAGAACAAAGGTCATGTAACTGCAGCAGACAGGCTGGGGCTGAGACAGCAGATGCAGTGACTCCTTCAGTTGGTTTTAGACGAAGGACCAGAAAAACTAGTTCCAGGGCTTTAAAATATTCCAAGAAAGTCATCAGTGAAGGTCTGGCATCCTCTATTTCACACGTATATCAGGTAAATGTGATAAACATGCAGGAAAATCTTTTTAGGAAAAAAGCGTGTAGTAGGTCCTCAACTTTCAACAACTTACATAAATGCACGGAGACAACTGCCCCCCTGCCCCGCCCCGCCAAATCACGCCCTATGGTGTTTGCTTATTGGTATCACTATAATTTCTGTTCAGTATCTATAGGACAGGTGTACAAACAAAAGATACTCTCCTTCTTTTAATTCAGGAATGTGAAGTTGCTCACAATTGACCTATTTTTCCCCCCTCGGCATTAAATATATTTAGCATGGTCCATGTATTTGATTAGGAAAAGCCAGACTTTGGCGGATATAACTTTCTCAGGGTAGGACAGGAGAGGGAAACTAGGATTCAGAGTTCATCAGTTCTGCTAAAAGATCTGCCAGTGTCTTGGGAAAATCAGCCAAGCAGTGTTATTGACTCTAACTTCCTATCCTATTTACTGCAAGATGTATTCCAGCTGCGAGTCAGCCTCCTATACTTACTTTTGAGTTCTTCTGAAGACACAGCATACACGTTTCTCCTGCAGTTAATGATGCAGCCGCAGGGCAGGTGGATCCAGTGTTCTGACAGGACAAATATTGGGGTGACGGTGGCAGCCAGCAAAGTCAGCAGAAAGCTAAGGGTTTCGAATGAAAGGCTTTGAAAACCGATGATGTGCTGGACAAACATTTGTATCTGAAAGGCAGAGCATTTAGAAATTTACATTGCTTCAAGTGCATATTTCCAGGAAGAAACAAAATATCTCACTATGAGCGTGGCACAAGTAAAAGCCACAGGCTGTCACCAGTGATCGTATATTGAGCCTAACAATTGTTCTTTCTAAAAGGGCGTAAACAAACACAGTGACAAACTCTCTCCTCCTCATTCTGCATTTCTCAGGAGATCCTTCTTCAAGTTAAATGGTAAATACAGATACCTGAAAACTATTAAAAGAAGCAACTCACAATCGAAGCAACTTAAAAGTTGCTAAATCTCCTGTGGGGTACTGAGAAAACCCAACTCCTGAGGTGGAGCAAGAGAACACAGGACCACACAGAACTGTGCTGCAGCGGCTCCGTAATGCTCTCTTTCAGTTGAGAGAAGCTGAGATGCTAAATCTATATACATCCAGGGGACAAGGATAATACTGAGCAAGAGCCACGTCCATATTCTCAACAGATTCATTCCTAAGTATATGAGAAAGTATCTGTTCCCAAAGGTCCTAGTTCATGCACATGGATAGACCCCCCAAAATGCAATGGAGATTACAAAGATGCAAAAAACCCCTCATTTTTCAAACAATTCCTATTTCTTAACCAGTCTGTGACTCACAGCTGTGAGGAGGGGCAGAAAAGCAAGCTTGATAAAATTCACAGACCCCATAATGCTAATCAAATGCTTATCAGAGAGCTGGAAACATGAAAGGATGGACCTCATTCACCTCCGTATTCAGGTGATACGAATGATGTGAAGACAGAGTAGCATACTGATCTTAAATAAGGCTCTGCCAAACCTGCTGAAAGCCAGTTAAATGCATGTAGTGTCACACAGACCTATTTAAAAGGACTTCTGCTAGCACAAACTATACTACAAGGAACAACTGCTACATCTACAGTTCATCTGTTTCAGTTCACGTCACATCAACTCACATCCCATTTAAACACATGTAAATATTAAAGAGTAAAGCAGTCTGACAATTTACCATCATTGGAAGCCAGAGAATGACTTTTGTCAGTGCAAGAATCAGTGAGAATCGTTTCTGGGCAAACCCCACTGTGAAGCTCCTGCTCTGTATGTTGTTCACGCAATGGGGCTTGAGTCCACTGCTCTCAGCCACACCTTTCCTGAAAACTGCCTCTGAGCTGGCACATGCATTTTGGAAATGCTTCAGGGTCTTATCCACAGGGTCCTCTGGTGACAGAGATGGGGTAGCAGTACTGCAGCCTGCAGGTGTTGCAGGGGTGACATAGCCTCGAGAGATTTCCTGGTAATCAATGTATAACTGCTGTTGCTCATCTGAACACAACAGCTGGTAAGTCAGAGGGACAGAAAGCACTGTGAGAAGGCAAAAGCACAGGGAGTAGACAACAAATAAAAACAGGATGTAGGAACTAGCACAGTCAATGAAGCAGCCCCAAGAGGTGGGGATATAGCTGCCCCAGCCACAGAGAGGCAAAATGCAGATTAGCAAACTGACAATCCAAATGGTGAGAACGGCCCACATCATGCTCACTGGTCGTTTGGAAGTGCTGCGGCTCATCGTCACAGTTTTGCTGACGGTGCAGAAGTTGTAAGAAACTATAAGAGATGCTTTCAGGTTGCCAGAAATGCCCTGGAATAAATACATAAGCGCTGAGGTGGCGCACAGAGGCTGGGGGAGCACATCACTTGACCACTGGGTAAGCATGAAAATAATCACTGGCACAACGCTGATTAAATCATCTACTGACAGTGAGGTCACAATCATTGCAATCG